AGTCATTGTCACGTCACACATGGAAAGACGTACGTGTCACACAGAGACAGTCACATCATAGTCAAAATAATCAGAGTCCTTGTACAGTCCTGCACGTAGGCCTTATTGCTATCTAATACTAACAATACAATAGTTTATCTCTGCTGCAGACACGGCTCAAAGGCATTGGTATTAGTCTGGTATTAATTGATCTGTTTTTAAATATTACTGAAATAATAAACAATAAATCACGCAAGAATTGTTTGAGTCTCAAAAGATGCAAGTGAGAAAAAGAATAACATTTTCAGTTCTTTTGCAATGATTTACAATTTGCTCTTTACAAAGTTGTTTTGGGAAAAGCCAAATCTATTTTAGAGCTATACGTAAAGTTTCACCCTTTCTTGAACAAATCCTTTCAAATATTCTTTCACAATAAAACATGAGAAAGATTGTAACACAACTTTTCAAACCTGAGATATATACTTTTGTAAATGAAATAGATGTCCCTGTGCTATAAACACAAGTAATTGTTTTAAGGAACTTATAACGTTCCCTGAGAAATATTGACTACTGTGAGGTTGCGAGATATTGATTTTTAAAGTTCTAACCATTCCTAAGGCAGTGTATTTGCACTCATAAAAACCCAAAGAAAATGCACAAAATCCTCTCATGTTTCTTGGGAGTTCTATGATGTGTGTGTTTGTGTCTCTTTTTAGTTGATTGTATTTCTGTGGCCTGGGTGTGGGGTGGTGTATGTTTTTATCTTTTAATGTTGTTTGTCTGATACTGTTAAATGTTAAAAAAACGGTTTTGTCTGCTTTTAATTGTCTTGTCCCAGGTATACTGATTGAAAAGCTCATGTCTCTCGGTTTAAGTGTTGCCATGTGTAAATGGATCTATAGCTTTTTAACTGACAGATCTCAGAGAGTGAAAATCAATGACTGTTTTTCTGATGTTGTTTCTGTGAGCACTGGTTCTCCTCAGGGATGTATTTTGAGTCCTTTACTTTTTACACTGTACACTCATGATTGTGTGTCCTCCTCTGACTCCAACCTGATCCTTAAATATGCTGATGACACCACCATCATCGGTCTCATCAGTAATAACAATGAATCGTCTTATAGAGCCGAGATCCAAAACGTGGTTCAGTGGAGTAAAGTAAACAATCTCCAGCTGAATGCATCCAAAACATGTGAACTGGTCTTTGATTTTAGTTGCAATAGTTCTCATTTGCCTGTCGCAATCGATAACTCCCAGATGCAGATCGTAGAGGAGTGTAAGTTTCTGGGTCTAACTCTGTCTAATGACCTGAAATGGGTTAAAAACACTGACCGGGTCGTAAAGAAAGCTCGTCAGCGTCTCTACTTTCTGCGGAAACTTAGAGAATTTACCACTAACTCTAAGATTCTGCTTAACTTTTATCGCTGCACCATTGAGAGTTTACTTGTTGGTTCTGTGTCTGTGTGGTTCGGTAACATCACAGATAAAGAAAAGAGAGCTTTAAACAAGGTGCTCCGCTCTGCTAAGAGGACTGTAGGCTGTGAACTTCCTGTTCTGGAGGTTCTTTATAAATCCAGACTTTTTAACAGTGCCCTGAGAATTATCAATGACTCTTCTGGCCACCCAGGAAAAGCCTTGTTCCAGCTTCTTCCCTCTGGCAGAAGATACTGTTCTCTGAGATGCAGGACATCTCGTTATGCTAATAGTTTTTTTCCACGAGCTGTTATCAGTTTGAATAGAGCACTTTAGTGTTTTTGCACTTGTATAGATCTGTTTTAGTTGGTCAACTTCACAGTGACATTTGTTTACTTTTTTTTAAATTTGTTTTATTTTTGTCTTTTAATGTTGTTTTATGTCTGTACTTGTCCTGTGCACACTGGGAACTTTTAGTAATGTATTCCAATGTAGTGTTACTGCAAATGGCGAATAAAATGAATCTGAAATCTGAATCTGGTCCATTCCCAACTGGCCCATTCTACCCTGTTTTAATACTCTTCACTATATGGGGCTCAGTAACAGACGAATAAATGATAAAAGTAATAACAAAACATTGAAGTCGAATGGTATTGGTAATTACAACAAGATCATAGAACATCATTGTCTTGTTTAACATGTCTTTAAATTACTATTTACTATATGACTAATATTTGACTAAAACTAGTCCAAAAATACAGACAAATATCCAGGACCAAGTTTATGCTATAAACTATTGCACAAAAAATGTCAGTTGTAACTATACAAATCTAAAGGAGTATTTATCGAATTTAGCAAAAATAGACACTGTTTTGTGTGCAGAATTATGATTTAAGTGTGTATAATGTTTATTTAATCTTTTTGTAAAATATAATCTTTTTGTAACGGTTTTCTGACTAATAATCAAAATGGTAACACAGAATATGCCAATAACTGCAGAAAGGTTAAACACAACTTTCAAGAAAGACAGCTTAATATGCTGAAAAAAAGAATGGTTTGATATGCCCAAGGCTAAGCAGCTAATCCAGGACTTTGTTATTATTGGGTTTGAACCATAGACTGTATATATTAACGGACGTAGTCACTCCTATTTCCGCCGTTCTAACTAATGGGCCAAAAATTGGGCTTTCATGGAGTGATTCAAAATGGCCGCGGGGGCTGGAAAATGTTAAAAAAACGCATTTGCGCATGCGTCAGTCGGCACAAGCTCCAATCATTTAAACGAGTGACTTGAAAAATTCACAGTGAGTAAACTAGAGTGGTCCAAAAAAAATCCCTCCCCTCAGCATTGACACACATGTGGGCCAAGAGACAACTTTTGGACCATCTTGTAAAGGTGTTTTTGAGAGGTCTGCCAATGCTATATGTTAGCATTGGCTAATTCTTATTCCGGGTCCACCCCCATCGGCCCGGGGTGGTATTGCATATGGAGGACCAAAAATGACTAAAGTATAAATAAATAAATAAATACAGGAATATATTAATAAATACATTCATTTTGGACAATAAAAACTAAATATTTACATTGATATGCTAAATATTACTCTGAAATCAAATAAATATACTTTTATTTAGGTTATTTATCAATATCTACATTTTTTCCTTTATTTATTTATCCATTTATTGCATATATTTATTTATGTATTTCTACATTTCTTCATTTATTTATTTATGTATTTCTACATTTCTTCATTTATTTATTTATGTATTTCTACATTTCTTCATTTATTTATTTATGTATTTCTACATTTCTTCATTTATTTATTTATGTATTTCTGTGTTCCTGTATGCTAATTAGGTGGGCGGTGCTGAACTCAATCTAGAACAGGATTGGTTAGGTTTGCGTGAACTCTGGTCTCGATCATTACTGCCTCACATTACGGTACTCTGTTAGCTAGCTAGAGATCCTCTGTGCACTTTTGTGTGGTATGATGGCAGTTTCGAATGTAAGTTTTTTAGGAGCCATTGCTCATCAATTAAGAGCATTAGCAAATGATGTTAATGATGTTGAGCATAATGCACCTGAGGACTATCTACTCTTTCGGCTGGAAAGATGTTTTAGTTCATCACAGTGCTGACCCAGAGGTAGACTTTGATGCAACTGTGCTGGACGCTCTTCAACAAGCAGCAGCTTCACATCCTCTCACAAACCGAGAAGGCTAACTTTGCTTCTGTCTGGTTGCCCTGGCTGACCTACTGCCCACCAATCCTGCTATTGATTGAGTTCAGCACCGCCCGCCTAATTTGCATACGGCAACACAGAAATACATAAATAAATAAATGAAGAAATGTAGAAATACATAAATAGATAAATGAAGAAATGTAGCGACACAGAAATACATAAATAAATAAATGAAGAAATGTCGAAATACATAAATAAATAAATGAAGAAATGTAGCGACACAGAAATACATAAATAAATAAATGAAGAAATGTAGAAATACATAAATAAATAAATGAAGAAATGTAGAAATACATAAATAAATATATGCAATACATGGATAAATAAATAAAGGAAAAAATGTTGATATTGATAAATAACCTAAATAAAAGTATATTTATTTGATTTCATAGTAATATTTAACACATCAATGTAAATATTTAGTTTTTATTGTCCAAAATGAATGTATTTATTAATATATTCCTGTATTTATTTATTCATTTATACTTTAGTCATTTTTGGTCCTCCATAATTGCAAGCATGTCAGCGCACGTCAATTTGGCCACTATTGAGCCGGGACCCGCCCCCACTGGTTTGAACCAGGAGTGAAGTGTGTTTGTGGCAGCTATGGAGCTGCTAATGATTAAATGACAGAACTAATGTTTGGTAACAGAGTGCTGTTTGGTTTAATCATCAACTTGGTAACGATCAGAGTTAAATTATATCGCTCTCATTTCTTGATTATCAAATATACATAAACTGTGCTTCTGGGAATTTTCCAGTTAAAAGCTGTAATTATTTGAAAAGTCTTGTACACAACCCACTAGCTGAACAAGATAATGAGTCATAATCCTCAGCAATAAAAGACTTCAGCTGCAACATTAATCAGAATCTATGAAAAATTACAATCGGACAAGTTGCAATTTAGAAATCACCAAAGACTGCAGCGTGAGTGGGTTTGTATTGGGCATTGTGCTCAGGCAGGACTCAGGCTGTAGACCGAGTACTGAGGCTTTATGGTGCAGGACTGAGGCGGGGACGGGAGCTTTGGACGCCAACGACTTTGACTGTAGAATTTGTATTAGTTGAATGCAGTTTTCCAGTGGACAGATATAAAACATTGTTGTCAAGAGACGGAATATTTTGTTATTGTCATCCGTTACACCACACTATTTTTAATACTTTCTAAACAAAATATCACATGTACAATCATGAGCCTCTTTTCCACCAGCAACCAGAGTAGAGTAGAGTAGAGTAGAGTAGAGTAGAGTAGAGTAGGTGGAAACTGCAGATATATTTTTCTGTATTACACTCTCCAATGCTCCTGTCTCAATGAGTTTCGCGTCCTATTCACAAAAACAATAAAGTTAAAATGGTTCTCAGGTCTTCAGTAGCTCTCAGGTTCAGTAGCTCTCTTGTCTTCGGTAGCTCTCTGGTCTTCAGTAGCTCTCTGGTCTTCAGTAGCTCTCAGGTCTTCGGTAGCTCTCAGGTCTTCAGTAGCTCTCAGGTCTTCAGTAGCTCTCAGGCCTTCAGTAGTTCTCAGGTCTTCGGTAGCTATTAGGTCTTCAGTAGCTTTCATGTCTTTGGTAGCTCTCAGGTCTTCGGTAGCTCTCAGGTCTTCGGTAGCTCTCATGTCTTCGGTAGCTCTCATGTCTTCGGTAGCTCTCAGGCCTTCAGTAGTTCTCAGGTCTTCAGTAGCTCCCAGGTCTTCAGGAGCTCTCATGTCTTTGGTAGCTCTCAGCTCTTCAGTAGCTCTCAGGTCTTCAGTAGCTCTCATGTCTTCAGTAGCTCTCAGGTCTTCAGTAGCTCTCAGGTCTTCAGTAGCTCTCAGGTCTTCAGTAGCTCTCAGGTTTTCAGTAGCTCTCATGTCTTCGGTAGCTCTCAGCTCTTCAGTAGCTCTCACGCCTTCAGTAGCTCTAAGGTTTTGGTAGCTCTCATGTTTTTGGTAGCTCTCAGGCTTTGGTAGCTCTCAGGTCTTCGGTAGCTCTCATGTCTTTGGTAGCTCTCAGGTCTTCGGTAGCTCTCAGGTCTTCAGTAGCTCTCAGGTCTTCAGTAGCTCTCAGGTCTTCAGTAGCTCTCAGGTTTTAAGTAGCTCTCAGGCCTTCAGTAGCTCTTACGCCTTCAGTAGCTCTCGTGTCTTTGGTAGCTCTCAGGTCTTCGGTAGCTCTCATGTCTTCAGTAGCTCTCATGTCTTCAGTAGCTCTCAGGTCTTTGGTAGCTCTCAGGTCTTTGGTAGCTCTCAGGTCTTGAGTAGCTCTCAGGCCTTCAGTAGCTCTCAGGTCTTCAGTAGCTCTCAGGTCTTCAGTAGCTCTCAGGTCTTCGGAAGCTCTCGTGTCTTCAGTAGCTCTCAGGTCAGTAGCTCTCAGGTCTTTGGAAGCTCTCGTGTCTTCGGTAGCTCTCAGGTCAGTAGCTCTCAGGTCTTCAGTAGCTCTCAGGCCTTCAGTAGCTCTCAAGCCTTCAGTAGCTCTCAGGTCTTCAGTAGCTCTCACGCCTTCAGTAGCTCTAAGGTTTTGGTAGCTCTTGTGTCTTTGGTAGCTCTCAGGTTTTGGTAGCTCTCAGGTCTTCAGTAGCTCTCAGGTCTTCAGTAGCTCTCATGTCTTCAGTAGCTCTCACGCCTTCAGTAGCGCTAAGGTTTTGGTAGCTCTCGTGTCTTTGGTAGCCCTCAGGTTTTGGTAGCCCTCAGGTCTTCGGTAGCTCTCAGGTCTTCAGTAGCTCTCAGGTCTTATAACTCTCAGGCCTTCAGTAGTTCTCATGTCTTCAGTAGCTCTCACGCCTTCAGTAGCTCTAAGGTTTTGGTAGCTCTCGTGTTTTTGGTAGCTCTCAGGTTTCGGTAGCTCTCAGGTCTTAAGTAGCTCTCAGGCCTTCAGTAGCTCTCAGGTCTTCAGTAGCTCTCAAGTCTTCGGTAGCTCTCAGGTCTTTGGTAGCTCTCAAGTCTTCGGTAGCTCTCAGGTCTTTGGTAGCTCTCAGGTCTTAAGTAGCTCTCAGGTCTTAAGTAGCTCTCAGGTCTTCAGTAGCTCTCAGGTCTTCGGAAGCTCTTGTGTCGTCAGTAGCTCTCAGGTCTTCAGTAGCTCTCAGGTCTTCAGTAGCTCTCAGGTCTTCAGTAGCTCTCAGGTCAGTAGCTCTCAGGTCAGTAGCTCTCAGGTCTTCAGGAGCTCTCAGGTCTTCGGAAGCTCTCGTGTCTTCAGTAGCTCTCAGGTCAGTAGCTCTCAGGCCTTCAGTAGCTCTCAGGTCTTCAGGAGATCTCAGGTCTTCTGTAGCTCTCAGGTCTTCAGGAGCTCTCAGGTCTTTGGTAGCTCTCATGTCTTCAGTAGCTCTCATGTCTTCATTAGCTCTCAGGTCTTCATTAGCTCTCAGGCCTTCAGTAGTTCTCAGGTCTTCGGTAGCTATTAGGTCTTCAGTAGCTTTCATGTCTTTGGTAGCTCTCAGGTCTTCAGTAGCTCTCATGTCTTCAGTAGCTCTCACGCCTTCAGTAGCTCTAAGGTTTTGGTAGCTCTCAGGTCTTCAGTAGCTCTCAGGTCTTCAGTAGCTCTCAGGTCTTTGGTAGCTCTCAGGTCTTTGGTAGCTCTCAGGTCTTAAGAAGCTCTCAGGCCTTCAGAAGCTCTCAGGTCTTCAGTAGCTCTCAGGTCTTCAGTAGCTCTCAGGTCTTAAGTAGCTCTCAGGTCTTCAGGAGCTCTCAGGTCTTCAGTAGCTCTCAGGTTGGACTCTTGTGTTTACCACAGTGACGTTTGACTCTGTGCTGCTATAAGGAGCCGGCTCGAGCCAGTTTACTCTCGCACTCATTTAAAAGTATCACAAATCCCATCTGCTGCTCTCTGCACTTTCCACTTAATCACGTTTTTACATTAACTCGGAGCAAACGCTGGTCTGATCAATGCGGAGGGGATTTCGCTGTCTCCCTGGGGCTAACTGGACATTAATTAGACGATAATGTTATGTATGAGAACCAAGTAGGCCATGCGCACCTGGTGTGAACTTTGCATCTCTCAGCAGTGATCGACCTCATGTTTCCTGTAATATAAAAGGTGCACAATACTCTATTTGAATCCATAAAATCAAGGTTACACAATAATAATAGCATTAACACGAGGACTCCTAGAAGCGGCATTTTGACTGCTCCCTATCAAACCAATGGAATTCTGAGAAATCTCCCCAAAATGTAGTTTTCCACCAAATGTATCAAAAGTAAGTCATATACAAGCTGTTTTTATGTTTTACCCTTACTCACTTTTTAATGTAACGGCAACATTTTTTAAAATGCTGGTAAGTAAATAGTGTGTTGCTATAGTAACTAGCATTCGCTCTTCTCCGCTGGAAAACCAAGCTCGGCTCAGAACCAGAACCAGTCCAGACCACATTCAAATTAATGGAGCTAAAGATAGAACCAATTACATTTCCATAATAAAAGATAATTCCATTAAAGTACTAACATAGATTTTTTGTGTGTAGAAAGTGCATAAGATTTCCATTCACTGAGTAATCACACTAAAAAAACTAAAAGACAAATTGACTGCTCTGGGAGTTCTTGTGTTTTAGTGCATTTTGAAGCACTTTGAGATGCCTTGACTATGAACTGTGCTATACAAAACTTGCTTTTCCCATTTGCACGTCGCTTTGGGAGAGGAGTACAATATGGACCAGGAAGTGAGTGAGGTCAGAGGGCAAGTGATGTCACCATAACACTTTCATTAAACAACAGCGGGTCACACTGCAACATAAAGGGGTGAAGCCAAAACAGCTCTATGGGAAGCATGTTTTGATTCCACTGTTCCTTACACTAAAGTTTGAAACAGCAAGGACCTTCCAACAACAATATCTTTATCACTAGAACTCCCAGAGCAGTCAATTTGACAGCTTTCATTTTAGGAAGTGTAATCACTCATCTTATGTACATTGTTGGTCTTAATTTTGTGATGTTTTCTGTCTCTACGTATGATTATAACTATGTCAATCCTTTTTTCAAATTATCTTCTATTTTTGAGTAGTTTCAGCTGTTTTAGTGCTAGTTACCATAGCAACACACTGTTTGCTTGCAGCAGTTAGCATTTGGTCTTTCATCAAACAGTTTTTGCTGTATTCTAAGTTCAATCTACCAGTTTTAGCACTTATTAAAGGTTAAAACCACAAAATAATAACTGGTGGAAAACTAATGTGACGTGAGGGTGTGAAAGAAGGGAGATTTAACAGTTCCAGCAACGCCAGGTGGTCTAGGGACCACCCAAATAATTGGTATAATAAGGCCGCACAAGTTGTGGACATAAGAGACGCGAGACTATACTTACAAAACAGTTCACAAGTTTATTTTCACAATTATAAGTTAAATACATCAAATAGGCCTTTAATGGAAAAATTGTTAAAATGTATTTCTTAAAATGGTGGCAACTCAGGACACAAGGACAAAAAGAAACAAATAGCAATGTAAATGAACCAAGTCATGCAATAAAAGAAAACAAACTGCAAGCCATGCAAATAAAGCAAACAAAAGAAAAAGCCAAGCAAAAAGCATGTGAAGGCAAAATAAATCAACACCAAATCAAGATAAACTCAAACCACTCAGAATAACCTAAATAAACAAAAAGAAAGATTATTAACGAAGGTCCGGGTGCCACAGGACATGCCCTTTAAACTAGAGCACTCCAGCGCTCGTGCACGCTGCAGCGGTGTGATCCGAGCCAGGAGGCCACACGTGAGCGCGCTCCAGCGTCTCCAGAGACATGCGAGACAGGTGGACAGAACAGCGGCTGCCTTTCAGAGTGGTAGCCCTGGTATAGACCACACGTGGAGAGAGCCTGAAGGACAGGCACAAATCTTAACATTGTAATTAATAACTAGACTGTAGTTTTTGAGCTTACCTGCCAGTGAAAGGCACGCACTCACGGCCAGTGGGAGGAGGGGGAGAGCCGGTATGGATACCAGACTTGTCCCAGCTGCAGCTCAGGGTCTGGGGCAAACAGGTTTACGCTCAGCTTTGGCTTTGAGAGCCAAGAATGAAAAGGCGGACAATGAGCGACTTACCTCGATTGTGGAGCACCCAAACTCACGGCAAAAGCCAAAGCGCTTCTCCCACGCGCTCCAGCAGCCTCCAACCAAGTAAAGCTGACGGTCACCAAACGTGCGACCACCGCACCCAGGCCAAGACTCATGTGCGCGCGCCGAACACGCACCTGCTTTTAATGGGCTCCACAAGTCCAAGCCAATCATCTTTCAGTGCAGTGCACACCGACATGCCACACTAACTTACATTCATGATTTTTATTTTACAAAAATTCAGATTTCTATAGATTTGAATGGGAACAGCCAAAATGACTGCTCTGGGAGTTCTACATATATATACGTGTGGACTGACTTGACTTTGAATGATGACCTCTTCATGTGAACATTAAAGCTGCTCTCAGGACACGTGTCTGTGTGTTTTTCTGGCTCCAAGGTCGATCCGGAGTCTCGCGATTTCCCATAAATCACTTTGGAGTGCGGTAATGAGGAAGTTTACCTGCTAAGAGCCCGCTTAGAGCCGCTTCAGGAGGCTTGTGCCGGGCCACTCTGCCTCTGGGCTGTTCTTAAAACTCATTGTGCAACGATTTCTCTGATTAACTTCATGATTGTATCTGCTGTATTTTCATTTTATGCATGCCCTGTTCTATTCGCTACATTTGTCTTGTTTGCACCAAGAGCCAAAGCAATTTCCTTGTTTGAAACTTCCTGTTAATCAAAAAAAAGTAATTTGGATTCAGATTCTAAACTAAAGGCCTGTGGTCTTAAACATTGTTGATCCAAACTGAAAATGCATCCACTTTAAAGCTGGAGTATTTAACATTGAAGCCACAACCAATTAATGTTGTATTAAAATCCTAGTTCCTCGCTCTCAAAACAGTCTCAAAACACCCTAACCCTTTTTTTTAAATCCAGGAATTAAAATCCATTTGCGGCATTCATACCACGTTTTTCTAAATCAAAACCACAATGATTAAAACAACATAACATCATCAGTCCAATCCAAGCCAAGTTGTTCAAGTCCTTCCAACTAGTTCCAACTCTAAAAAAAGCTTGCTACAAGTTTTCACATATGTGTCTGCTGTGTTTGGTTTCCAGCTGAACTCAATTTCATGTGTTTATACAAGGAAAAGTGAAGAAGAGATAAACCACTGGCTCAACACCCTCAGTCCGATGACTTTTTGTCCCTTACAAGTTTGCAAAAGACAAAATGTTTTCTAACAAGATGGAAGACTGTGTGCTTGAGTTGTTCTCTCTGCAATAAAACACATTCAAAAGCCCTACTTTAAGGATAATATTCTATCATTTTACTCTGGAATAATACCCTGCTTTTGATTATGTCTCTAGGCGGGTTCTCCGACTTTCTTCAATCGAAGCGCTACTTTTAAACAAACAGGCAGAGAGCTTCTCCTATTTGAAGTCATAATACAAATGTATGTAATATATTATGACAAAAAATGGAAAACACCATAATACTGTATAACCCTATATTTATACTTATAATAGATATGTAATGACTCAAAAGTGAATCATTGAAGGTCATGTGTTAAATTCTAAATCATTTGGGGAGCTACCTGAAAGGGGCTGGCGAGCTACTGGGAGCTCCTGAGCCACAGGTTGGAGACTCCTGCTCTAGGCCTTATGACAAAAATGATAACAATAATACAGTTTTGTTGTTGCAAAGTTCAGAATTGTAGCCTGGTGCCAGACTTAAACAAGATTTATATTGATCAGTGAAATGAATTCTAAAGCACACAGGGGGCCATTGGAGGAATGTTGTCAGTGTGCCCCAGGGCAGCTGTGGCTACAGTAGTAGTTAATCACCACCGTGTAAGGAGTGAAGGAATAATGACACGTCTTTGAGTGTCCAAAAAAGCGCTATATAAAACCAATGCATTATTATTCTTATTATTCTTATCATTATGTTAAAACAGGGATGATGTGCTCCCTTCTGTTAAAAGCAGAGAGGTCTATCTATGCAAAAATGCTCTGAACTGCACATGTTGTTTGACAATGTTTTTAAGAAATGAAGCCAGTGTGCAAGCCCAGACAGGAGGGGAGAGCTTTGGGGGCAACAACAAAATGTCTGTTCTCCTTAATGAAAATGCCAATCAGTGTAAGGACACGAGACGGCGCTTTTTGTTTTAGCAACCCCAGAAGCAGCAAAACAATGGAATAGTTTAGGTTAGTCACTGTAACTTCCTCTGTCCTAATTATCCCCATTAGATAAGAGCGTTTATCCTTGAAACTTTTCCAGCGTGACCAGTGCTTTGGGATCTTCCATGAATCATCGCCAAGACTCGGGGACTCTGAGGAAATCCTATGACCCAATAAACCCCTCTCAGGACAACATGTGCCATTGCCTGCAATCAACTCAACAATATTAGTGATAATTTCTTCACAACTCAAGGAAATAAACGGCTTTATCTCTAAGCGGTGGAGTTTATGGCCTGGTTAATCGTTAAGCAATGCCTTTGTCTCCCCGAAGGATGGAGCAAGGACATGCGTGACACCCCCGGTTTGCTTTTTTTTTCTAAGGGTTGGCCCGCTGTCTTATCCAATAGCTGGCTTTCAATGTATGTAATGTCAAATGACGAGTATAAAGGTAGGGAAAGAAGAGAAAGCCAGGCCTATACATATACAAAGCATCCAAAACTGCACTGGATGTGACTGAAGGCACATGCAATATTGACTGAACGTTTTCTCAATATTTCCAATGGAGAAACGCAACTCCCATGGGGAACACGTTAATGCGGCTTATGATCCGACTCTGGATGAGCCCCCAAATTATGAGGAGCCGGTGCGCACTGTTCGGCCCTCTGTGGTGAGCGCATTCGGGCATGATACTCTAGACCGAGTGCCCAACATCGACTTCTACAGGAACGCTGGAAGTGTGAGCGGACACAGGCAGGTGCGGCCTTCGCTACAGGAGCTGCACGAGGTCTTTCAACAGAAGGTAAGAGCATTCTGGGTATTATTTTTACGAATGTGAATTATGTTATATCCTGTACCTATGGACCTCCTGTGTTCTGACACAACAGAACAGCAACAGAAACTGTTTCATTCTGTTGTTGGTGAATCAACAACTTTGTAAAGTCCTCCTTGATGACTGCTGCTGTGTGTTAGGGCTCTTCACAAGTCCCTTTAATTGATATAAACTGAAATTGTAGACCTTTATAGTTTCTCTTAAAGCTAAATTGCAACTAAGCAAAGGACTGAGCAAAGGACTTCAGCAGGATTTCTCATGGAGCAAACTGTGACAAAGTCGGACAAAGAAATTAAATTCAATTAATTTCAATGTATTTGTGTATAGTCTTAAATCACAGCAGCAGTTTTCTATGAAGACTTTTTACAGCAGAGACTCAAACCGTTTTAGCACAATAATAGCAAACACATGGGATGACAAATGATCATAAATGTCCAAAAGTGTCCCGGATTATCACTGATCATCACTCTCCAGTGTTGGCAAAGAACGGCTCAGATCATACCAGTATGTGCTAGCCCAACAGTAAGAAAAGGGTGCAGGGATTGAATAATAACTCAAATAAACCGCTGTAGACAATATATCTGTGCTAAACAGGTCAACATTCAGATTTTAGATTAGATTCAACTTTATTGTCATTACAATGTTCAGAACGGGTCCTGGTCCTGTCCTGGTCCTGGTCCTGCTCCTGGTCCAGAAGGCTCCTGTAGCGGCGACCTGAGGGCAGAAAGCTAAAGAGTCTGTGTGCAGGATGAGAGATTTAACATAAAACATAAAAGTTCAGGACTTTGAACTGATTTGGAAGTTTTTCAGTTGTTTCTGCAGAAAACTCTTCCTGGATGAATTATGTTTAATGCCGTTGGAAGTAACAGAAAGTCACCAACTAGGAATTTGCTTTGGTATATGGCACAGACAAGTAAGAAAAATTTGAAAAATATGTATAAAGGCATACACTTTATTATAGACTTATAAATATATTACCCATCTCTTGTAATCAGGACAATGTGGGTTCAGTGCAGGGAACCAATCAAGTCTAGATTTCAACCAAAACCAGTTCAATGCAGAACCAAATTTACATCTTCTCAAAGATCAAACGCAACAATTTGATAACAGATCTGAACCGCGATCATAACAATTGTCCTTCAGATCACCTTGTTCATAAATCTCTCCACTGTTTGTGCTTAGATTTGCTGCTTTAATAACTTCTAATCAGCTATTTCCTCATTCTGATGGTTTTATAAAAGTTCTATAAAGAGTCTGATATGTTTAAGGAGCTATTAACTTCACTTGCGTCTGTAACCCAGATTAGTTGACATACTTGAGAATTTCATCACGCTTTATAAAATTCAGTACAAGAGTCTGGAGTCTATTGGACGTGGGTCATTGGGGGTTTATTTGCGTGGCAGTAGATGAGTATTTGTGAACTTACGACGTTAAAGATGCTTTGAACCGGTTGTTATAAAACCTCAAATGAGTTTTACTTTAACTAGTTGACCTAATAATCTTTACACTGTCTGCTACACTATAAAACATTGTTATTGACAGGTTCTGCACAAACAACTGTGTGTGTGTGTGTGTTTGTGTGTGTGTGTGCATGTGTGCGTGTGTGTGTATGCGTGTGTGTGTGTGTGTGTGTGTGTGTGTGTGTGCGTGTGTGTGTGCATGTGTGTATATTATAAAGCTTTTCCAATTGATTTCTCATTTCCATTAAATGATTAAACAAAACCTTTGGATCAATATTTTATAGTCATATTTATCTTATCTGGCTCGTGTCTTGGACAATAAATCAAAGTAGTGACATCTAACAGAAAGACTCAAGTTCATATTTCTGTTTTGAAGATGGTCCCATACAGACATTCATACATGTTCAATAGATAAAGATCAAAAATTGGATAAATCATTGTAGTTTCCACTCTTGTAAAAGAAAAAAAAGGAAATTAAAGTATGTTTGCACATTTAAAAACCATACACTTAATTGTTTTAACACTTGTGCTACCCTTGGGTCAAAATTAACCCACCACAGAAGAAGAAAAATGGAAGAAAAATAGCTAAATTAAGGTCTAAAATGGTCTGAATGACTCAGAGCCAATCAAGGTGAAATATATCATCAAAATTCAGCTCAAAAATGTTTTATTTAGGGTATTTTTAATCACTGTGGCAGGTAAATTTGACCCGAGGACAGCACAAGGGGAAAAGCAGTGAGGAGGAAGCTATTCTTAAAACATTACTTTTTTGGGCTCTGTTCAATGTATTGATCAGTGCATTGAGAGAGAGACACCAGAGAAACACCAGAGAGACACGAGAGAGAGAGAAACCAGAAACACCCATGTTTAATACTGTATCTGCAATTTACTCAACAGTACTCTTCATGAAATTATAAAATGTAAAAATACATTGTGACTAAATGTGAAAAGTGAGTTTGAAAAGGAATGTCTCTGGTTCATTTTCGCAGCAGAATGGGGGCATCTCTGTCTCGGACACGGTGCAGGATGACAGCGAGGGCAGTGACGATGGGACCCCCTGTGAAGACCTGGAGTCTAATCCTCCCATCGACCCCAGCAAAGGAGTGGTCAAGTTCGGCTGGATACGAGGAGTCCTGGTGAGCGGCCACAGTGGGAAGATTAACTTTACCTCATAAATGTCTCTATTAAAATTATTATTGATTAGGGGCTAAAGCAGTGGATGAGATAGCAGACATTCTTCTACTGTGGAATTCCAATAGGTTGGACAAGGACATTCACAGCATCAGAATTACTAAAAAATACCAACTTCCTTGTCATGTCCTGGTCCTACTCGTCCTTCCTTCAATGACCTTGGTGGCGTCTCAATTATATTTAACTTGACTAAACTTGCATCTTTGGCCTTTTGGCAAGGCAAGTATTTTTTTGGTATAGCACAGTTTATACACAAGGCAACCCAAAGTGCGTAACAAAACAAGATAGAAACATCAATAACCACAGTACATTAAAATCAGAGAAGACAACATTCTTCTGCTGTAATTTGAATTTGACTTTAAACTTGATTTGAAGCCTGCCACATTTTTTGGAAGACTGTACCAGGCAGACAGACAGATCCTTATTGTCCCCGGAGGGAAATTCATTAAGGAAATACAACAATACACACACAATACAGAAACATGGAAAAGATTACAGACATTATGTATGAAAAGGATGGTCTGACTCTCTGCTAACTGTCTGTAGCATGTGTGTTACTGTTTTGGGGTAAAACATTGTTTTAAAATTATTATTGATTAGAAGTAACAAGTGCTGTTTTATGTCTTTCCTTCAGGTGAGATGCATGTTGAACATCTGGGGCGTGATGCTGTTTATCCGTCTGTCCTGGGTCTTTGGACAGGCTGGATGGGGTGAGCTTTTAATACATCACTTTGTGTCATGTATTAAAAAATATTTATCAAAATCCAGTCAATATAAGCCTATTTTAAGAAGAAGGTTGTTTATTTGTCCCACAGTGTGGAAATTTCAGTTTTTATGAATACAAAACACACATCAAGGCATGCAGCAAACATTACTTCCATGCTACTTATAGGCAAAGTGGGTTAAGTGTCTTGCCCAAGGACACAACAACAGTAGACATCAGTGGAGTTGGTGGAGAAGGTCTCGTGGTGGGCTCGAACTCACGACCTTCAGGCTCAAAGGCCAATGCTCTACCAACTGAGCCACTCATTAGAACGTTTTCTGTTCTAATAAGAAAAGATAACGTTGACCACTTTTTGATTGCAAACATAATGGCAGCAAGATGGCTGAGTCATTAAAGGGTCCTGGGTTTTAATCTTGAGGCTTAGAAGGTTCTTTTAATGAGACAAAATGTAAATACGTTAGTACTGCTTAATTACCACATGTTTGAACGGTAGATCTTGCTGCTGTAAGTAAACAGTGTGTTGCTATGGTAACCAGCTGGCACAGCTCAGAACAAGAACAAGTCCAGGACCAGCATCTTGGAGAGAGTGACCAAAAATGGCTACACTTGAATTTTACATTTGAAAAATAAATGATTCTATAAAAACAATGACTAACAAACTACATAAAGATACGGAAGATGGTGGCAGAGTGGATAGCACTCTTGCCTCTCAGCAAGAAGGTCCTGGTTTCGAATTCCGGTCAGACCAGGGCCTTTCTGAGTGGAGTTTGCATGTTCTCCCTGTGTCTGCGTAGGTTTCCTCCAGGTACTCCGGTTTCCCCTACCACTAAAAATATGTGCAATAGGCCCAATAAATTGCCCAATAAAATTAACAATTGTAAACTGCTTTGAGACTTAGATCTGCAGTGAAAAGGCGGTATATAAATAAAGATGACTTACTACAGAAATAGTCTAAGTTATGAAGACCAAAAATGTGATTGCACTTTCAAAATATAAAGCCGTCAAATTGACTGCTCTGGGAGTTCTAGTGGTAAACATTTGTACATATGGCAGACGTTGATGACTGTGAAAACGAACAAACGGTGAACCATTCAGAGATACTGCATTCAGTAATAACTCATAATTAGATGTTAATGTTTTATCATCGGTTGCGGGGAACCTTGCTTTCTGTGTGTCACCATGTTCCAACCCAGCACCATAATCCTTTGCTTATTTCTTTAGGTAACTGCAGAAGTAATTAAATGTGTAGTTTTAATTAGGATTTGCATCCATTGTGCAATGACTTTCTTTGTTAGGATTATTTTATAGGTTGTATACTAATTTATTCATTTGTCCTCGAGCCATTTCTGTCTCTTGGTAAATGCTTTGCAAAAATATTAAGAGTTCATTTCATTCAGTCATCTGAATCCAGTCTCACCTCCCATTCATATATTATTTTCACATAACAAAAAACAATTTTCTTTTGATAACCTTATACTTTTTGTGTGGCAGAGTTGGACACTACGGGCAAGGGCAGTTTTTTGTATAGCACAGTTCATACACGAAGCAACTCAACGTGCTGAACAAAACAATATTAAAGTCATTCAAATCCTAAATAATCAGGGAATTGAAAAACCTGTCTCACATTCTCAGGTTTTAGAGATTCTAGTTGCATAAATCTGAAATGTTGCCTCCCCATGTTTAGTCCTGTTTAGCAGGAGGCCAGTTTTAGTCCATGTTTAGCAGGAGGCCAGTCACTGTGTCGGATCAGTGCCTTTCTGAGTGGAGGTTGCATGTTCTCCCTGTGTCTGCGTGGGTTACGTCGAGGTGCTCCGGTTTTCAGGAAGGTCAAAGGACAGTCATGATCCAGAACATGGAACCATATTTCTTAACATTTATGAACATTTGTCATGCCGCTCCCGATGGACCAATGTGATTTATGTTGATGCATTTCCTGTGTTCGTACTGTTTGAAGAATCGACAACTTGAAAGGTCTCAGATGTAAATTTCTCCTCTGTGAGAGTAAAGCTTATCTTATCTTATATCTTAGCTCTAAATTAGTTAACTGGAGAGATTTTTCAGCCACACTTTTCCAGAACTTTAAACTATAGGCTCTTTGTAATGCTGGTAAACTTTTTCCAGATATTTAGCTCATGTTTCCCCCTCTCCCTGTCGC